TATATATATATATAGCTCAGTGAATTTAGTTTCAAACAAGCAGAATGGATGTCAGTAAATTCTGTGCTTGACAGAGGTAAGACGCATACTAACACTGCTAGATTTACAGCTCTCTCGCCATCACATAAAGCTCTGTCTTACCTTTGACTGCTTCATCTTCCTTCAACAGTCAGCTTCAGGCCATACGCAGAAACTTAATGCGTTTTTAGCATAGTGAATTGATTAAGTTAGTGGAAATCGGACTTCCAAATAACAAGGATGAGGTAAGGCTACGTTCTAATCATCCAACAGCACCTTCTTGGACTACACACTTTGAAGTTTAATGACTAAGAGTCTGCTGTTATTTATGTTATAAAGCTAAATTTAAATTGGGTGTAAATCACAAATTATATAAATGCATATGGATATTTATAACATACATTTATAAATGAAAAAAAAAATTATGTCATCATCATACACTAAACTCCTAACCTGTCTTACAGGGCTTTCTGTGTGGCTCTGGTCTTTGTCTCTATAGAATTATGCACATTTAAATGTGCTGGTCATTTAGGACACAATCAACCAGGTTGATAAACAAACAGAGAAACACTAATTAACCAATTAACTGTTTGTATATGTCTGAAATACACACCGTAACAGCACATGTACTCACTCTGTGTAAACACATGTGTTGAAAAAGGTGAATTTCCTCTGTGAAACCTGTTAAACACAGCCAGGACACAGAGACGTGAAGATGAAAGTAGTAGAAGGATCTCTGAGCCCCAGAGGAGCATTTTAAAACACCAGACTGAGTGAGACCTCAAGTAACTGCACTCATGCAGAAGAGGATTCCATTAAAGGCAGACAGTGAGAGATCTTCAACTGGGAGAAATGTGAGGCATCTGAGGAACTTGCACAACATAATGACGTCAATCATGAATTATTTTTAAGTGGCATAAATCTGAGTGAATTCTCCACATCTTGCACTATAATAAATATAATTTATCATCATTTTTGGAGTGTAAACCTCCTTTTTACTGCTTGTTCAATTTCTTAATTAGAATGATTTAATTTAACAAAAATATTGAATATTCTAATTTCGTTTTGTACAATCCACGCTGGTTTACTTAATCTGTTTGTGTTAGGACTACATGAATACTCGTTGTTGGTCTTCACTGAAAATGAACATGAAACTTCTAGTTCACAGCATGCTTTCCAAGAATCTGAATAGGGACAGTACATGTTGAAAGTGTTTTTCAACAAGATGTTAGCATTTAATGTTATGTTGGAAAGATTCTGTTGATTTGTGCCTCCAAAGCAGCAGTTTTCAAACCGTTTGGTCATGTGGGAGTGGAATTAAAGTCACCAGAAAATCAATATTTACAATTCATATTTTTTATATAATAAATTATTTATCTGTGCACATTATTTTTTTTTTAACTCATGTGCCTTTGTAATCTTTAATTTAAAAACATTAAATTCCCTTCCCGCTTCTATCTATTTTCTATGACGTGCACCGGCTTGAGGGCGGGACAGTAATCTATCACATCAAGGAACATGTCTGTCCCATTAGATTGCAGTAACAAAACAAACGATTCAACGATTCAATCAATTCTCAATGAACAAAATTATAGTCTCTTCCTACATCTGTTTTCTGTTTCAAGCTGTTTCACTTGGATATATGCGTCACTTTAGAGAAGAGAAGAAAAGAAAAGATGGTCGCAATTCAATTCATTCTGACTGATTTTAAGTTTGTTAATATACTTAAATGTTTCTGCCATAATGCTCCAAAAGTAGCGTTTTATGCTGCAGATGTTACGGGTTTGAATCAGTCTATTCAAATGTTCAATATTACCTTGCTGATTGCACATTACGCAAAACTTCCAAAGTGAAATGTCCAGTGAGTGGCGCTAAAAGTACAATCAGTTTTGTCCAAAACAGATGAACGTGATGGCAACTTTTTATTAGGTTGGTTGTTGCACGACTCATGGCAGTTCGGAAATTAAATGTCCAGTGAGTGCAGCTAAAAGGTTAATGATTCTGTTTGAAAATAGCATACCACCTAAACTAAATAAACTAAAAATGTTTAGTGATAACTGATAACTAACTGATAATGTTAATATAAGGAAACGTGAGGTAAAAAGGCATTTGCTGAAGCAACAATTCTATTTTAGCTTGCTTCGACAAGCCTTTGAGCTCACTGCTACGTCACTTACACTTTTATTTTTGACTCTCGTTTCACAGGACTCATACCAGAGTGCTCCACATCACAAGTGTGACGCTATTCCAGGTGAGCTAACAAGCAAGTTTACTACATCAGAAAAGCCACAAATATGAAGCTGGTTGTGACGCATAACATGACATCATAACATGGTTCCTTGCACAATACTAATTCTTTATCAATCAATAATCTGCCCTTGTGACCATAATTTGTGTTTTACTGGTTCTAGTGTTACTGCAGATGGAAGCTGCAGGGAATTGTTACAGTACATTTTTGGAGTTTTGCAAAGATGTACTGTAGTAAAAGTATGTTTTTTCCAATGAGCCTAGGTTGAAATCGTTTGGACTCATGTCTTGCCTACATGGGTACTGACCCAGAAACCAGCCCAGATTCATGAATAACAGACTCCCACCATGTCTAATGTAAGGTTTAGCTGATTATAAACATCTTAATAAACGTCTATAAACGTCTCAAGCATCACAAACACCTCTACAATTGCCTTGGAACCTGTATGGAAAATTCACATGTGTGAGACACTGAACATTAATGAACTGAACTTACTAAAACCTTATTGTTCTAAAGCCGCAATAAGGTGACATTAAACTAGGAAAGGAACTCTGCATGAACTTCCCAGCTTTTTATGAACAAGCTGATTAATTTCACAAGAAATTATTTCCAAAACTGTAAATGAAAGTGCAGCCATCAGTTGTGACAGCAAAATATTAAAAATGGAAGCAAACAATGAACCTGTGCAGTTTATGAAACTTGCATGACTTTATTTGCATTTGTGTGTGTTGTTTGTTTAAGGGCATCTGGCAAATCTTTTTTATCGGGCAGTTCTGCTAAGAGAGAGAAAGAGGCTGCAGTAAGATGGAGCACCTTTCCAGGAGCCCAGATTTATATTAATTCTTCTTGAATCATAAAGCTTAATATAAATATGAGAACCTTCAGTCCCCATCCACCGCTCTGTAGAAACCCCTCTATTAACATCAATCATGTCTTATTTTACTCACATTTATCATAATCATGCTCACACACTCTCTCTCTCTCTTCCACTCTCCTCTTTCGACATTGTAGCAATGACAATTCTTCAGTCACATTTATTCAGAATTTCCTCTCTCATACCTTTTCAAACATTTTAACCAATGTATGGTATTTTTTAGGGTGTTCAGATTTCTTCCCTCTGATCTAAAAAGATTTGATGACTTTAAAGTTACAAAAATTATATTTAAAATTACATAGACTAAAATAAAATAGTGTAATTATTATTGTGTTTTCATGCTATGGCAAAACAAAAGAAAAATCTACATTTTTGAGAACATTCTCATAATCTTCAAAATATTATTACCACATGCATATGTTGTGGTACTCTCATGAACGCACATCAAAGACTGACACGGAAGAGAAAAATTTGTTGAATAAAGTCATTACTTTTGTTTTCTTTGTGCACAAAATGTATTCTCAAATCTTGAACTTTGTCATTTCATTCCAATTCCATTGCATAGGCAGGGTCAGAAAGCAGAAAGAATTTCATCAAAAATATTTTAATTTGTGTTCCAAAGATGAACGAAGGACTTACAGGTTTGGAACGACATGAGGGTGAGTAATTAATGACAGAATTTTCATTGGTGAATTATCCCTTGTTCATTTTACATTACATTTAATGCAATGTCACGACTTTATTCTTGAAATTTTGTGATTTTTTTCATAATGGGGTCTATCAGAGTATTCTTAAAATATTATGACTGTATTCTTGAAATCAGTTTGGTTATTCACATTCTTCAAAATATCTTCTTTTGTGTTTAGCAGAAGAAATAAATTCATACAAGTTTGTAACAACCTGAGAGTGAGTAAATAATGACACATTAATGTTTGGGTGAACTATATCAATTTAACATTAATAAACATTACAGAATGAAATGAACAGGTGTTCTGGAATCATCAGTTGGTCAATATATTGTAAGGCACAGTATACTTTATACAAATATTGGACTAATAAACTAATCAAATAATTATAATGAAGCAATGTATATGTAAAGTGGCAATGTAGAGTAAGTAGCAACATCTTTTCTTCCATTGTGATGTATAGACGAGTGAAT